GGCGGCGCAGGGGCCGCCCCGGGTGCAGCGGGGCCGGGTGGGGTGACCCGGCGGGCTCGCATCGGGTTTTCTGTGGAGAAGCTGTCATGCCGCAAGTTAAAAGCCGTCTGACGGCTCTTACCTCCTCTTACACAGCTCCGATACCTCGTGGAGGATTTTTTTCGCTCGTTGCTTATTTTTCCTGCGGAGGATGCCCGGCGCGCCAAAAATCCTACTTGGCGGGACATTCCTCCCGCGGGCTCTCCTAGGAAGCGCCGCGCGGTGCTGTAAATGTGGAGGTTAGCGTTTATTTCTCTTCCGCGTTTCACTTTGCTTCGTGCTCTGGTGTCAAGAGCAGAGCAGAGAGTCCTGCAGCTCTGCCAGGGTTTGGTGGTTTGTACTCCCGCTCCTCTTCCCAGACCACAACCGCACACGTTGCGAGGACAGGTGTTGCACCGGAGCTACTTTCAGATAAATTAGGAAAAATAACTAATTAAAGTTGTCGGTGTTCCTCTGACTCATTACATCCATCGTTAGTCATTTGCAGTTGCGATGTTTGGGTGTTGGTGTTGTTTTTTTTTTTTTTCCCCAAAGGACTCTTGGGTGTTGCTTTGTTTGAAGTTTTGTGCCGGTTTTCCAAAGGTCTTTTTTTGTTAGTATGGTTTTTGCTCTCACATTTGATATAGAAATGTAGTCAAGTAATCCTAATTGTCTCAAACAAAAGCTCCATATGGATTGAAATATGCTAATTTAGAGGCTTCATATGTCCAGTTGTCTGACGTACTGAGCTGCTAACTCTGCAGTCAGCCCCTATATTCATTTGTTAAAAAGAATTTGATTTTTGCTCTGCTTCTGACAAGGTATTTTCAGACATAAGATACATTTCCCTTAAAAGCCATTGCTCTAATTAGAGGATGCTGTTTGAAAACATAGCAGCCGGTCTGCAGCAGCCTTCTGACGGTCAAATAAATGTCACTGTCCTCCTTCACTGGCTAAAAACAGACGACAGCTCCTCAGGGGTGGTGGTGGACTGATACTTGTTTGACTGACAGGCGACTGTGTTAGCGCAGCGGCATATTTGAGTTGGTTCTCCTTGGGTGACATGCATCATGGTGGCAGCTCATCGCTGCTGCTAATGACTTTTCCTTATTGTACCCTCATTCTCCAGTGTCAGAGCAGTTTGTCAGGGTGGTTTCTTGTCAGGCTTTTACACCGAGAGAGAGAACGTGGTAAAAAACAAAATCAAACAACCCTGTAGTCCGTTGGTTTTTACAAATTTTCATCTAGGGGAGGTTGCATCTCTCTTAATAAAAATGCTATTATTTAAAAGTCATGCTTAATCTCTTAAATCCCTGTGGCTTCTCTAAGTATATGCTATGTGACTCTCAAAATCCCGTGGGTATATGAGGTGAGGCAGCTTCTGCTTCTTTCTTGATTCTCTAGAAGAGTCCTAAGAGTTCAGTGTCGGGCAGTTGAAAACTCATGCTTTTGAATTAGAGTATTTCAGGAAAAAGCCACTTTGTTCCGATTAACAAAATCTCTAAGTTGCCCGAAATGTTACATGTGAACATTCATTGTATTTTTATTTTCTGGAAGTACCATCGAAAAAATTAATTTTTTTTTTCCTTCCTTTAACAAGGTCATGCTGGAAATCAACTTGTAGCCTCATTGGTGTTGCTATGACAGTCTCTAGCTGAGACTTCCTAATTTATTTTCAGAAGAGCTGACTTAACTTTCAAGTATTTTTAGATTTCTTTTGAATAACTTTGCTTATCTTTTAAAGTTGTCCTTCTGCCTTGAAATGCAGAGCCTTCTTTCTGCTGTCACGCCCCTATGCATTGTTTACTAAATTCAGCAGATTCTTTGGCACCTGATATTTGAACAAAACGCTGCTGAAGTACAATCTAGTCTTGGATCTAAAGTTTACAACAGCAATTAAGTGTCATTGTTCCTCTGTTTTCCCTGTGGACACAAGGAATAAAGAGCCTAAATGACACATCCAGCACCACCCAGCAAATTAATGGGAATTGTCAGGAGTGGAATGTGCTTGTTTCCATGCCAGCCCCATTGATCCTTACTTTTTAATTAAACGGTGCTTGTATCCTTTAGTATGAGCGAAGTTTATCCCTGCTAAACTGTTCCTTTATTTTGGACTAATTTTGTGTATAACTGCAGCCATTTTGCAAAGTTTATTCCCTCAACATTGGTTACGCGTGCGCTGGTTAAACGATGCGTGACAAAGTCAAGAGATTGCCTGGGTTAGTGATGTGTAGAGTATGAAATGCTCAGCCAGGTTTCAAAGTCGCAAGTGTTAGGCTTCCATGGAGAAACCTCGTTTACAATTAGTTTTATTTTACTAATCATGGTTTAGCTTCAGAAACAGTTCCAGAGCCCGATGATCACAAGCTGATAGGAGAGCTAAGCTTCCACAAGTAAACCCGAGCAGTTACTTCGTGCAGGTTTCCATGGCTGCTATCATTCAGTGTCTAAGAGGAAATCTAGGAAGCTTGTAATCTGCAATTTAAGGGGCCAGCAAGTAATATCAATCCTCCCAGTTGTTAGAGGTAAATAAAGAAATTGTAGATTGTAGGGTGTGTGTAGCCCATGAAAGAACGGAGGATTCCATCCATGTGTGCGTGGAGGCATTGACTGTTTCTCACTTCTGTGTTATATCCCAGATATTGATGTTTTGGTTTTGGTTTTTTTTTTACCCGTCCATGCCTGGCGTTATCTGGTTTTATTTCTTCATCCAGTTTATCTGAATGCTGGAAATATTTTGCAGATTGTGTCCAGTACTGTAAGCACTAGCTTATCCACATCTATAGTAGAGTATCAAGAGCTCCAGTGTAGACAGGCTCCTGGCAGGTTGGTTTTGTTCGAACAATTAAGCTGACTTGTTAGCGTCATTTTGTCACCAGGGATGCATCATACCTTAGTATGCCTACGTCACAATACCAGAGTCGCAACTCTAGGGGCGGTGTTAGATCCCAACAGTCATCAAACCAGAAAACTCAAACAACGCCTCCCTCCGCCAATTAGCAGCTTTGTGAAATTA